TCTCTGAGCTTCCTGGATTTCCTGGAAGTCTATTTCCTTTGCCAGATTGGGGAAATTCTTGTTTATTATTTGTTCAAATAAGTTTTCCACTGGTGGCTGTTCCTTTCCCCCTTCTGGTACCCCTATAATTCGTATGTTGGAGCATTTAAAGATGTCCTGGAGGTTCCTAGTCTCTCCTCATTTTTTTGAATTCTTATTTCTTCATTCTTTTCTGGTTGGTCATTTTTATCCTCCTTCTGGTCCACTCCTTTGATTTGAGTACCAGTTTCCTTTCCATTACTATTGTTTTCCTGTGCATTGCCATTCATTTCAATCAGTTTAGCCTTCATATGTTCCTCTAATTTGTGAATAAAATCAACCAGTTCTGTGAGGATCTTGATCGCCAGTGTTTTGAACTGTGCATCTGAAAGTTTTGCTATTTCTTCGTCACTTAGATTTTTGGGCTCTGGGGCTTTGAGATCTTCTTGAGCCATTTGGGGGCTGTTCACACCCTTTAAGTATGAAGAGCAGAGCCTTAGGGGCGGGGCGGGGCCTCCATAGCTGGGTCGCTGGGTTGTGATGCTGTATGTGGTGGCGGCGTCAGAGTGGGGAAATGGCGTCCCCCTCTCCTGCTTCCCGCTGCTGGGTGAGGAGCGAAGCCTTAGGTGTTCACCAGGGCAGGGTCACTCAGGTTGCTGGATTGTGATGCTATATGTGGGGGCAGGGTCAGAGCCGGGAAATGGCGGCCGTCTCTGCTCTCTCCCGTGGCTAGGACCCACTGGGTCCAGTCTCACTGCCCACTCCATCGCCGGTCTATCTGCGCAGGAATGCGCCAGCACAGTCAACCCGCCACCCTTCACCCTCGCCCGTATCTGCCCAACACTCACTAGGTCGCTCACTGGGTTGGCCCTTTGCAACCCCACGCCTGGGATCTGTGCACCTGAGTCCATCTGACTGAGTTTTCCTGTGCAACCCCGCTCCACCAGCTGCTGGTTTCGCCCCTCTTACCAGTCACGCTGAAGAATTTGTTGTTATCGGACTTCCGAAAAGTTTATTTTCTGTGTTCTGGCTGTGTTTTCTGTTGCTAATATTTTGTTGTCTCTAAACTTGGTTGTGTGAGAAAGCACGGCGTCTCCACCTATGCCTCCATCTTGGCGGAAGTCCTCAGGACACCCCAGTTCTTAAGCATTCTCTATTCCACATTGGATTGCAAGAATCTTTATGTTGTCCCTTCAGGGTGGAAAAAAACACCCACAAAAAACAAGCAAACATAAAAAAATACCTGAAAGTTTAAATTATGATTATCACATTATGCCCTTAGTATGTATGAAAAGGCAGAATTCCAAATCAGGAACACATTTTCAAACAAAATGCCTACCATGACATAAAAAAAATGAATAAAAGATCTATAATTAAATGTTTTCAGTTAAAATTAAATGGTTGTGGCACATCATAATTTTTCACTTTAACATTTTCAATAAACTAGCTGATGATTAATACTTGTCTGAATTGAGTTGGATTAAGTCAGCTTCACTAGATCATGTACTGCTGCACTAGAATATCAGGAACCGTAAAAGGTTTAAACTTATCGGCCCAGGAATCTCACATCTGAGAATCTCACATGAAAACACCCATATAAATCAAGTTGCATAACACTAATAATTTTAAACAGCAAAACAGTAAAGCAACCTAATATTGGGACTTGCTTTAAAATACATCAGGGTTGAGGAGTGCATAGGTCAATGAGGATAGATGAAATAAGATTGGAAACATTGTGGGGGTGGAAATGGGAGGGAGGTGGGGAGCAAGGGGTGGGGGAGGCTGGGATGGGAAAAATAGACAAAAAACTGTACTTGAAAAATAACTAAATAAAATTAAAAAAAAAGAATTGGAAACATTGTGATAATTGCTGGAGCTGAAAAATAGATTCATGAGATGTTCAATTTACCATTCTTGTGTATATTTAAAACTTTCTTCATTAAAGTAATAAAATTTAAAATAGTAATGCTCTGTGAAAAAAAACTAAAAATCATTGATATCCTACAACTAGAACACTTAAAAAACAGTGTTCCCATTACTTAAAAGCATATTTTTAAGAAATTAAAAGCCTTATCTTTTCTCATATTTCAAAAAAAAATCCCTCAGTCTATGCTACTTAAAAACCAATTTTTGCCCACATTATGAATGTCATCAATAACTTCACCTTCCAGCCATGATGGAGCCATAGGGAGATAAGCTTTGCTTCCTTACAGAACCAAAAGAAGGATAACAACCAATTTAAAAACAAAAAACAACCAAAACTGCCAGGAAATCTAACTGCATGGAAGTCTGACAAAGAAGGAGTTGCAGAAGAAACATTCATCCAAACGGTAGGAGGGGCAGAGACAGGAAGCTAGGGAGGCTAGGACTCATAACAAAGCAGGGGCTGGCAGACCAGCCTATGCCATATTTGCCTTCAGATAAGCCAGGAGGAATAATTGATGAGACAGACTACACAATCTAGGGTTCCAGCACAGGAAACTACAGCCTCAAAACCCCTGGCTGTAAGAATCTGTGGGGGTTGTGGTGTTGGAAGAAATTCCCAGTCTCATAGAAGAGTCTGTTGGAGTGACCCACAGAATCCTAGAATGTACACAAGTGCACCCACCTAGGATTCAGCACTAGGGCAGCACCTGAAAGATCACAATCCACTTGTGGAAAGCAATGGAAGAGACTGAAAGCAGGGTGAGAACTGAGCAAGCAGCATCATCCCTCTCTGACACCTCGCCACATACAGCACCACACACAGCAAAGTGGGTTGCCCTGCCCTGGTGAATACCTAAGGCCCTACCCCTTACACTGTAACAGCTGCATGAAGACAAAGAAATATGGCCCAAAGGAAAGAACAGATCAAAACTCCAGAAAAAGAACTAAGTGACAGGGAGATAGCCAACCTATCAGATGCAGAGTTCAAACACTGGTAATCAGGATCTTCAGAGAAATGATTGTATACAGCTGCAAAATAAAGGAAGAAATGGAGACCATAGAAAGTGAGATAAAGGAAAATATATAGGGAGCCAACAGTGAAGGGAAGGAACCAGGACTCAATTCAATGGCTTGGAACCAAAGGAAAAAATAAACATTCATTTATCCACCTTGAATTTATTTTTGTGTATGGTGTAAGTTGGTGATCAAGTTTCATTTTTTGCATGTAGCTGTCCAGATCTCTCAACACCATTTCTTGAAGAGGACATGGACATAAAACCACAAAAGTCCTAGAGGAAAACATTGGCAGGAAAATGTCAGACATCCCGTGCAGCAACATCTTCACTGATATAGCTCATAAAGCAAGGGACATAAAGGAAAGAATAAACAAATGGGACCTCATCAAATTAAAAAGCTTCCGCATGGCTAAAGCAAACAGCATTAAAATGAAAAGAGAGCCAACCATATAGGAAAACATGTTTGCCAATGACACCTCAGATAAGGGCTTGATCTCCAAAATATATAAAGGACTCACAAGAAGACTCCAGGAAGACAAAAAATGAGCAATTATAAAATAGGCAAAAGACTCGAACAGACACTTCTCCAAGGAGGACATACAGAGGGTCCAGAGACACATGAAAAGATGCTCAGTATCACTAGCCATCAGAGAGATGCAAATTAAAACCACAATGAGATACAATTTCACACCAGTCAGAATGGCCCTTGTAAACAGATAAATAAACAAGTGTCGGAGAGGACGTGGAGAAAAAGGAACCCTATGCACTGTTGGTAGGAATGCAGACTGGTCCAGCCACTGTAGAAAACAGTATGGAATTTCCTCAGAAAACTAAAAATGGAAATGCCTTTTGACCCAGAAATTCCACTGTTGGGGTTATACCTTAAGGGCCCTGAAACACCAATCCAAAAGAACCTATGCACCCCAATGTTCATAGCAGCACAATTTACAGTTGCCAAGTGCCGGACGCAACCTAAGTGCCCACCAGCAAATGAGTGGATCAAAAAACTATGGTACATTTACATGATGGAATTCTATGCAGCAGACAGAAAGAAGGAGCTTATACCATTTGCAACAGCATGGATAGAACTGGAGAGCATTATGCTAAGTGAAATAAGCCAGGAAGAGAGGGAGAAAAGGTACAGAGCATAAGTAGCATAGATGGTAGGTAGAAAATAGACAGGGGGAGGATAAAAATAGTATAGGAAATGTACAAGCCAAAGAACTTATATGTATGACTGATGGACATGAACTGAAAGGGAGGAATGCAGATGGGATGAGGTGTGCAGGGTAAAGGGGAATAAAGCGGGAAAAATGGGAAAACTGTAATAGCATAATCAATAAAATGTATTTAAAAGAACCACAGGGGTGTGAAGTACGTTACAGGGAATATAGCCAATAATATTATAATAACTATGTAAGATGTCAGATGGGTACTAGACTTATCAATTCAAAGTTATATAAATGTCTAATTACTATATTTTACAACTGAAATATAATATTGAATATCAACTGTGATTGAAAAATAATTTTTAAAAAGTACATAATAAAAGGGAAAGGAGATCCAAATTATATGAAATAGAACATCTCCTCAACAGTAAAAAAGGGCTTTAAAATGAGACAGAATGAAGGCAGATGAGTAGCACAGAGAGTACTTTTCTCCACATATCTTAGGCCTTTTCTCCACAACTCTTGGATGGGCCTACAAGGGAGACATTATTCAATCATTACCTTTAGGATTTTGCCTCCCATGCCAGCTGGGTTCTTTTTTTTTTTTTTTTAATTATTTATTTTTTAGAGAAAGTGTAAGGGACAGAGAAAGAAGGGGAGAGAAACCTCAGTGTGGAAGAGATATATCACCTGGTTGCCTCTCCCATGCTCCCAGCTGGGGACCTGGCCCACAACCCAGGCATGTGTCCTGACTAAAAATTGAACCAGTGATCTTTCAATTCACAGGCTGGCACTCAATCCACTGAGCCACACCAGCCAGGGTGGTGGGTTCTTAACTGCAGTGCCTTTCCCCAGTTAAATCCTTACTCACCTGGGCAGCATCCTCCCACCATGTTCCTTTGCATCCAGGGCTCTTTCCCTTGCTCCAATAAGGAAATCACATCAGGCTTAGAAATAGAGAGTCCTGTTTACACGAAAAGATAATAAGATATAACCACGTTGCTGAATTCAAACCTAGTTCTAAAAAAAATAGGCAACCACATGAAAAGCAAGTTATAAAGTTCTGAAGAATGGAGAAGATATAGAGATTACAAAGAGCTTCCCATATCCTAATCTGCAAGGCACAAAATAATTCCCTAGGAAATAGAAATGTACCCAAACAATTGAAAGATACACCCAAAATTCACAAGATGTTTGGGGATAAATAACCTTACCTAGTAAGACCAGGTTGCTGTAGTTCTCCATCATCACATCTCTGTACAAGTCTCTCTGAGCAGGGTCCAGATAGTCCCACTCCTCTTGTGAGAAGTCTATAGCCACATCCCTGAAAGTCACCAACCACTGAAACGATAAAACTGTATTATACTGTTGAAGTTAAAGGAGGCCTTCCCCAAATGAGAATTCAAGAAGTCAGCAGTCTGTAATCAGAAGAGAGCCTTCACCAACAATACTGGTACCACTTTAGTCATAAAGACAGTCAAAGAAAACATTGGAGACAATCCAGCAGAAACTCATGAGTATTTATCAGTATTTGAGAATTCCATTGGTGCTTTACATGACATGCACCAATGTATGTTTTTAGAAATGAGTTATTGCAAAAGTTGGGCCCACTTGAACATGTAATAGTGGATGTAGTTTCTGCTTACACAACAAATTCGATGTTTTGGGTTTATTTGGCAAGCTCAGGGAGTTAATCCTAAGGAACATCCAGTAAAAGCAGGAATTGAAAAGAATCAGGGTATACATGAAGAGAGTTAAGAAAATAAAGGCAAAAAAGGCTGCACCTCTCACCAGGTGGCTGTTGATTGGAGTATCATCCCATACACCAAATCTGTGGGTTTGATCCTTGGTCAGGGTTCAAATGGAAGGCAACCAATTGACGTTTCTTTCTCACATCAACATATCTCTCTCCCCCTCCCTCCCTCCCTTCCTCTCTCTCAAAATATCCTTGGCTGAAGATTTTTTAAAGTATTATATTGCATATATGAAAGTTGCTAAGAGTAAGTAGATCCTAAAAGTTTTCATCACAAGAAAAAAAACTTGTATCTATGTATGGTGATATATATTAACTAGTTATTGTGGTGATCATTACATATCAAAGTAGCTAATCATTATGTTATACACCTGAAACTACATGCCAATTATACCTCAATAAAAATTAGTTTTTAAAAAAGACATTGTATTTCAGGAAAGAATAACTCACTTGGAACATGCCTTTTAAAATTTTTATGCTGAGTTGTACATTCTTAAATTCCTCTTTTGGAAAAGTACAGCATCCCACGAAAGCAGCTGGGATAAGAAAAAAGTAACTCCCAGATATGCCCAAAATAACTCCTCTTTCAATTTACTTACTATGCTGTCTACCCCTACACCTCCCAGATACATACATATGCTCTCTCTGATGGAAACTGAAAGGGATGTATACAAATCCCAGCACTTCCCTAAGCTTGTGAAACCCAAGAACATCAGGATGGGTTCAGGGCAGATATGCTCCAGCACCAGAGGGGCCCACGTACCTCTGCAGGAGGGATTCAGGCAAACCATTGCACTAATCTAAAGATGTTGGTCTGAACCTCAGGTGGGTATAATAACAACATGGCTCCATAGTTCCCCCTTTGTAGGTACAGCCAGTTTTCCTCAAGCCAGGTTACCCAAGGTACAACTTAAGTCAAAGATGGAGTCCTCAAGCTATAAACACAATATACTTGCATATGTTCCATACTTAGACAAAGACTTTCAGAGGCTTCCAGTACATACCAAGCTCAAGACATAAAAATCTCTTAGCTTCTCTCTGACTATATTATGAACCATGAAATCTAAGACAGGCCTGCCCAACCCATGCCAGAGACCACAAGGCCTTGAAAACCAGCCCCACAAACTATTGGGTTAGCCAAGAAGTCTGTTTGTTTTTTTCTGAAAGATGGCTCTAGTAGTACTTCATTGTCTTTAACTTCATTCAAAACAATTTTGTTAGAATGTATTGTGACAGCTGTCATATTAGCATGCATTCTTAAAAAAAATATCAAAATTGGTGAATTTTTTGTGTAGTTATTTTAATGTTGAAGATGGAAGAAAAAACATAATATTTTCACTATATTACGTTTTATTTCAAGAAAGGTGAAATGAAACTGAAACACAAAAAAAGATTTGTGCAGTGTATGGAGAAGGTAGTGCAACTGATTGAACATGTCAAAAGTAGTGTGTGAAGTTTCATGCTGGTGATTTCTCACTGGACAATACTCCATGGCCAGGTAGACCAGTTGAAGTTGATATCGATCAAATCGAGACATTAACTGTGAACAATCAACATCACACCACACAGGAGATAGCTGACATACTCAAAATATCCAAATCAATAATGTTATTGATGAAAGTGAAAAATGCATCTTTTATTTTATGGAAAAAAACTCAACAGACTTTTTGGCCAACCCAATGGATAGGAAACAAGACAAGAATTGAGCTACACTCTTGTACATAGCCCATGATGGGTAGGTAATATGAATGAGAAATAAACTTTGCATGTTAAGATACTGACATTTAAGTTAAAATAGCATGGTTTAGCCTAGTCTGCTACTGCTACACTAATATTAAATCCCCTCACCATCCTTGGAACACCAGAAATATACTTAAGACTTAGTTGTAGATGGCGGATACAAATATATATGGTATGCAAATCAAAACCAAAATGAGATATCACCTCACATCTATTAGAATGGCTATTATCAAAAATAACCTGGCTGGTGTGCCTCAGTGCATTAAGTGCCAGCCTGTGATCCAAAGGGTAGCCAGTTCAATTCCCCAGTCAGGGCATATGCCTGGTGTTGGGAACTGCCCTGCCTGGTTTCAGAAGCTGTAACCGCTCCCCCTCCCCATGGCTAAGGCTGAGTGAGTGACCTTCTGACAATAAGCCACTAAGGAGACAAAGCTTATCTTCCTGACTGGAGCGCTGCTTCTGCTTCTTTTACTTCATTATGCCTGGTCCTCAATGCTTGATCTGTTAGCCAAGCACAGGTAAGGTTCCTCAAGGGAGGGATGACCTAAGATAGGCATGATCATGGGGAGGCCCCAGAGAAGGACTTGGGGAGCTATAGCAAAAGGGGGTGATAGACCCTCACCCCTCAGCTTTGACATAGCCTGAGTCCTCATTCTGTCTTCAAGAAGTCTTCTAATCTCTTGGCTGCCTTACTTCCACTGCCTGATTTAAGCCCAAAACAGTGACAGAGGGGAGTCAGGCCTATGCTGCAAAGGGTGGGTTCCCTAGGGTGATCAGGCCTAAGAAAGAATGTATAAACTCCTGTGAAACCTGCTTTGTTTAGAATGCTCTCAATTAAATGATAGAGGTCCCAGCAGGAAATAAGTTTGCTTCCCAAAGTTTTGTAGCCCTTTAAATAATAGACCCTGACTTAGAATAGGCCCTGAGAGTTCTTTGTATATTATCTATTCTTTGATCCTTACTTCTTGACAATGATTGATGAGCTTTATGTGTATTCCTGTGCAAAATGAACCTAATAAAAGCCCACTGAGGCCCTGGCTGGTATAGCTCAGTGGATTAAACACAGGTCTGCGAACCGAGAATCGAAGTTCGATTCCCAGTCAGGGCACATGCCTGGGTTGCAGGCTGGTTCCCTGCAGGCCAGTTCCCAGCAGGGGATGCATGAAAGGCAACCACACACTGATGTTTCTCTCCTTCTCTCCTTCCCCTCTAAAGATAAATAAATAAAATCTTAAAAAAAAAAAGGTTTTACCCTTTCTATTCAATTTCTACATATTGATCATGAGGACTTAAAAATGAGAGTTAATTAGCTCATTATTCAGTAATGCATTATTTAGGGACTAAAAGTTCAACGAATATTTGTGTTATAATGTAAATACATTAGCATGGGCTTAAATAAAGATCTGAAACTCAAAAAAAAAAAGCCCATTGAGAAAAAGGCTCTTGGCCCTTCTCTTTTGAGAGATCGGCCACCTTTCTTCCCCAAGCAGATCATGTCTTGGTAGACTTATTCTCATCCATGGCGGCCAGGGGGTTCTTGCAGGTGGAGCTCCCCTACAGCCTGGATTACAGGGAAGGTCCCTGGTGTGGAGTGTGGGAGAGGCCACTGATCGAGTATCTCTCATACACTGATGTTTCTCTCCCTCAATTTCTCCCTCTCTAAAAGTAACTAAATAAAATCTTTAAAAAAAAATGTTGGCAAGAATGTGGAAAATAGGAACACTTGTGCACTACTGGTGAGAATGTAAATTGGTACAGCCACAATGGAAAATCATATAAAGTTTCTTCAAAAAATTCAAAATAGCCCTGGCTGGTGTGGCTCAGTAGATTGAACGCGGGCCTGTGAACCAAAGGATCACGGTTTGATTCCCAACCGTGGGAATCAAGATTCTTCCAGCCAAGATTCCCAGTTAGGGCACATGCCTGGGTTACAGGTCAGTTCCCAGCAGGGGACACATGAGAGGCAACCATACATTGAAATTTCTCTCCCTCTCTCCTTCTCTTTCCCTCTAAATATAAATAAATAAAATATTTTTAAAAAATTCAAAATAGAACTACCATACAATCCAGCAATTCCACCTCTGGGTATTTATTTGAAAAAATCAAATACAATGGAAAAGGTATTTGTACCCCATGTTCACTGCTGCATCATTTCTGTTAGCCAAGACATGGAAACAACTTCAGTGTCCATCAATGAATGAATGGACATATGTATAAAAGAAGAAAATCCTGACACTTGCAACAACATGGATGGACCTTGAACATATTATGCTAAGTGAAATAAGTCAGACAAAGAAAGATAAACACCATACAATTTCACTTACATGTGGCATTTAAAGAAACAAAACAAAAAATGCATAAATACAGAGAACAGATTGGTGATTGCCAAAGGTTAAAAGAGTAGAGAGTGGACAAAATAGGTGAAGGTGGTCAAAAAGTACAAACTTCCAGTCATAAAATA